AGAGAGAGAGAGAGAGAGACAGACAGAAAGACAGACAGACGGACAGACAGAGAGAGAGAGAGAAGGAATTAAAGTGAGTAAAATTTGTCTATTTAGCTGATTGATGTCACCTTCAGCATCCCGACCCCAGAGTTTTGTAGATGGACTTGTCTGTTCATTCTTCAGAGGTTATCAGCAATACACACACACACACACACACACACACACACACACACATATATATATATATATATATATATATATATATATATATATATATATATATAATAAAGTGTATTTAGGTAGAAAGAATTATTTCAAACCTGTTTGATTGAATAATATTGACAATTTTTTTAAAATTTTTTCCAAGTACTTTCGAATGTTACTACATTCGTTTTCTAGGAATGGAACAACATACGAAAGTACTCTAGGGAAAAACTAAAAGTGACCTTTGGTAAATTTACCGATTATATAAAACAACTAATTCGGAAATTTGTAATAGTTAATTAAAAGTTGCATAGGCAGAACTTCACGATATTATTCAATCAAAAAGGTTTGGAAAAAAATATTTACTTATATTGCTGAATCGTTATTTTAGAGGATACCCGTATTCCAGTAGACGCTCTTTATTTATTAAACAATATATTTATTTATTTTATGAATATTGTCTGTGTGTGGGAATATCTGTGTGTGATGTTGTGTGTGTTTGGGTAGAAGTTTGTTCTAATATTTCAGAAAGAGCTTGCTTGCTTGTTATTGGTTTACGAGGTTTTTTCATATTGATGCATGTTAAAGTGTTTGGATATTTGATTAAAAGAAAGAAAGAAATTTAATGACGCAGAGAAAAAATAAGGATTGGAAACTTAAAGTAAAAGAAAGAAAGAAAGAAAGAAAGAAAGAAAGAAAGAAAGAAATGAGAAATGTAAGAAAGAAAAAAGAAGTATGAGAAAGAAATGAGAAAGAAAGAAAGAAAGAAATGAGAAATGTAAAAAAGAAGGAAAGAAAGAAAGAAAGAAATGAGAAATGTCAGAAAGAAAAAGAAAGAAAGAAATGAAAAATGTAAGAAAGAAAAATGAAGTATGAGAAAGAAATGAGAAATGTAAGAAAGAAAGAAAGAAAGAAAGAAGGAATGAAAGAAAGAAAGAAATGAAAAATGTAAGAAAGAAAAAAGAAGTATGAGAAAGAAATGAGAATGAAAGAAAGAAAGAAAGAAATGAGAAATGTAAGATAGAAAGAAAGAAAGAAAGAAAGAAAGAAATGAGAAATGTAAGAAAAAAAAGAAGTATGAGAAAGAAATGAAAAATGAAAGAAATGAGAAAGAAAGAAAGAATTGAGAAATGTAAGTAAAATAGAAAGAAAGAAAGATAGAAAGAAGTATGAGAAAGAAATGAGTAATGTAAGCAAAAGGAAATAAAAAGAAAAGATAGACATAAATCTAATGATACAGATAAGGAAATAAATGATAAAAGTTGTAAGAAGAGGAAATCGTAAAACAAGGGAAGAAAGTTGAGAGAAGAGCAAATGAGAGAGAGAGAGAGACCATGGAAAAGAAATATAAAAATGTAATGCAATATGTAAGAAATAAGCGAGAAAAAGAAACAAAGACAAATAAAATAAAGAAAGAAGAATGATGCAGGCAAAAAGAAGAAAAGGTACTTTCTGGAGAAAAAGAAACGCCAAAATGAAATTTAAATAAACTAAAGAAAAACAAAAATAAATGCTAAAGAAAGAAAAAAGGAATACAAGGATTAAAAGAGAGAAATATGACTAAAAAGAAGGATATTGTTATAAACACTATAGGGAATGTTGAAAAGTCTTAACCCGACCCATTTCCCTAAAACTGAACAAATAAACAAATATCAGAATTTTGGGGGCAGGTTGAATAGAGGACATTTCAGCATCTCTCCAATATTCTTTTCTCGTTTTTATATATATATATATATATATATATATATATATATATATATATATATATATATTATATTCCATATATATATATATATATATATATATATATATATATATGTGTGTGTGTTTTTCATTATCTGAAGACCGCTCGACACTTGAAACTGACAGACACCATACAGTGTTTATTTCTATGACCACATTGGCTATATGTACAACCAATTTATTTCCGATATTGAGACTTTTACCTCTATAAATATTGTAAGCAAATTTTAAACAATATATATATGTGTGTGTGTGTGCGCGCGCGTGTGTGTGTGCGTGTGTTTAGGCGTGATAAAATGTGGTTGAAGAAGCGAAAATAAGATAATGTCTTGATGGCAATGGAAGAAAATAAGATGAGCATGTAGATGCAACCAAGACAAAAAAAAAACGGGAGATGAGAAAGAAAGAAAGAAAGAAAGAAAGAAAGAAAGAAAGAAAGAAAGAAAGAAAAAGAAAGAAAGAAAGAAAAATTGATTGAGTTTCTGATTCACCTTTGGGAAATGATTCTTTTCCTGTCACCGGAAATGCAAACAGTTGTTGTCTTATTTGCCCTGACGAATAATTAAAGACCCTAAAAACAAATATGACAAGATTTGAACCTCACCAATTGGGGTCAATGCAAAACAAAAACAAAAAAAATAAAATAAATCAGTAAAAGAAAAATATCAGATTAGTTTTGATCAAATGTTTACATAAAATGCTCAACGGACCAAATACACATCTTAACATTCAAGAAGGCGTGTGTGTCTTTGCGTTTTTTGTATGACTGCGCATGTACATGCTTGTGTTTGTGTCGGAGATTCTATGTGGTTTCAGTATGTGCTTGCGTCTGCGTTTATGCATATTTTTACATGTGTAAGATTTGTTGATTTAAATCAAATCACCCCAAGCATGCGATAATGCTACTAAGACCCACTGAGCTACTGGGAGTGAAAGAGAATGAGGAGACATTAGAAGAACCAAAAACCCAACCCTAAAAAGGAAACAAAGGACAAACCACTACTCCTGTTCAAAGACTGGGTGGGAACCCGACAATAGATGAGGAAAAAAGTAAAAAAATAAAAAATAAGTAGTTAATCAAATTCTAGGGTTTCAGACGGAGACGTTTGATGTATGGAGTTGAGGTAGACTTTAGAAGAAATCAGAAACACAACCTTAAACAGGAAACAAGGTATAAAACCTCTACTCCTTTTCAAAAGACCGGGGAGGTATGTGAACCAAACATTAGCTGAACCTATCTATTCCTATTGAGAAAAAAACTAAAATAATAAATAAAATTTCAGAGTTTGGTGGGCATGCCAAAAGTATAGAGTTGAAGTAGACTTTAGAAGAAACTAGAAAACCAATCCTAAACAGGAAACAAGGGATAAACCTCTACTCCTGTTCAAAGATCATGGAGGAGTGTGAACCAGATGATAGGCGCATCTGTATACTCCTATTAAAATGTTTTGTATCTGTTTGTGGACATATTTGTGTGTGTATGTGTGTGTGTGTGTGTTTGTGCTTGTTTGATTGATTGATTTGTTTTCTACGGTTTATCCACCCTTCGTAGGTTATTTAAAGCCAGAAAATATTCTTAGAATGTAGGATTTTTTTCTTTTAGTTATTGATGACTTAGTGGTACAAGTCTTACTATAGAAGTGGATTCATACTTTTCCCAAAGATATTTGCGCGTAGGTGAATATAACGAACCCAACTGGAATTTGAACTCGGCTCTCCAATTAACATTATTCCTTACACCACCCGCACATCCAAGCACCCGGCATTCCCAAGCACAAACCCATCTAAGTAATGACTAGACTCAACGTTGCTTAACTTTGGTGATTGTACGGAAACCAATGTTTCAACGTGATGTGGCCGTAAGCCCGTGTTTCTTTTTGTGTGTATGTGTGTGAGAGACGTTATGCAGTGCGTGCGTGTGTGTATGTCCGTGTCTGTGTGTTTGTTCGACTGTGTTTGTGTCAAATTAATGCATATATTCTAAGGTTAAGGAACGAATTAACATCGTCACATCCTGGAGCTTCAAGTATATAGCACTTTGATTGAGAATATTTGCATTTAAAACTATTTCAATGGATTTCATATAAAGGTACAATTGCTTACAAAGCAAGCAAAAGAATTTTTCTTCCTAAGAATTTAAGAAAGAATTTTTCTTCCTTATAAGAACAGAAGAATTCCTACTGAATCGATTAATAATTTATCATCTTTGGTTCTCTGTCAATCTTGAACTCTTTCAGCTCTCCTTAATATTAATCAGTGTTTTGAGATGCAAAATGGGAAGCAGTATCATCAATCACCACATTTATACGAGGAAAAGATAAAGTGTTTGCTAAGAATAATGACAAAGTGGAAAGACTTCATCATCAGCGTCGTCAATAACTGGATGTGGTCGTAGGGTTGCTGCTTTGCTGAACACCTGATCAGTTCACTCCACATATACCTGGAGAGGTGTTCGTGTAGAAAATTGGGCAATTAGACCTAGCGGAGCCCATGGACACGTTGCCCTTGATTCCATCGAGAGATCCCGCCGCCCTGGCTGGACAGTCTAGATAACTCTCCGTCCAATGATACCGTGCCATCACCGTACTGGTTATATACAGGGCTATAGAGCTCAGTTGGCCCCATCGTGCTAGATGGCCTTTGACCAGTTCATCCACCTTTTGATATTCTTATTTTTTGTAATCTTGCTGATTTTTGGCATCTACGTTACCAGGAAAGCCTGATAGGGTAACCCGTTTAATCGTTAATGATTCGACAATACGTCAAGTATTACTGGGCTACATGGTAACAGTAACACACTTAGAGTAACCTGAAATGGTTGTCAAAACATGAGGATTGGCGCTACAGAATTACATACAAAGAACTGTATCAAATAAAAAGAACTACATCCTTTTGAGGACATACAATAGCAGCAACAACTAAAATGGATATCACATATAACTAAAGATAAAATAATGACATAGTTAAGATGATGATTATTTACATTATTCGGACTGTTATCCTCATCTTCATTGCCATATTTACAACGTACGCTCCGGCATTCTTCAGGTGACTGGAATTTCGAAACGAAACCTTTATTTCGGAGTAGATTGTTCTAGTTCAACGTGCCATGCCTCTTCTGGATGTTTCACTAATTTCCCTTTAACTCAAATCTACAAGTTTTTTTTTCACCACTACTGTAGCCTGGTATTGAACTCACAACTCTTTGGGACTAGTCACTGGATTTAACCAATGCATTTATCCACTAGGCCGGTAGACGAAATAAAAGGTTTGGTTTATCACCTGAAGAAGGCCGGAGCGTACAACGGCCGAAACGCTGTGAATATGGCAATGAAGATGAGGATAACAGTCCTAATAATGTAAATAATGTAAATAATCATAATACCTCATCTCAGAGATATAGACAGATACGATGGTGATGGTCTACACTTTTTCAAAAAAAATTAGGAAAGAAAGCCTCACCAATTCTGGAAAGGGTGATAAAAGTTAGTAGACTTCAGATACCTATTTTTCTGTAGAATTATTTTAATTGAGAGAATTTACAAATTTCAACCGATGGTAGCACTGTTTACGAACGTCAAATGTACCATTCTTTTTTTTTTTTTTAATCACTTCATCCCTAGGAAGGTGACAAAGTCTCTATGATACAAGGTGATAAAGCCACTAAGATGTAAGGCGTTACTGAGAGAAAAAGAAAATGAAAAAAATATTAGTGAGGAGAAAGGCCAATAAAAGAACAGGATTCAAGAAGACAGAAGACAACAATTGACGGTTCATTTAAATTTTGAAGATCGTAGTTGATAAAAAAAGCAGAAAGCCAGAAGAGAGTTACACAGACAAGAAGTGCAAGAGAAAAAAACTATTAGAATAGAGCTTACGCTTTCACTTAGCTATTTCAACTGTAAAATGATGAGACCTAGCCGCCAATCTAGTAGTACGCTAAACTTCATGAAGTTGATGTACAAAAAAGGAAATCAGAAATTGGCATTAAAATATTTATAGAAAATATTTATAGAAATTATTTATAGAAAATATTTATAGAAATGTAAAAGGGGAAACTACGTTACGGCGGTGGGAAGGTGACTGAAGCCGAGATGTTAGGCCAAGACTGATAACATTGCAGATTCTTCTCAGGATTTTGTCAAGAATCTCGAAATATATAGCAGGAGCATCAGACCAGATGTGCCAGCAATAATCAACAAGGAAACGCCTAATATTACCATTATAAATACAAATATAAAAGAAAAACTTAGTATGACTAGATTACAACAAAAAACATTTTTCATTATTGCCGATTCATGAGTAATAAAGGCATGTGTTACTGTTATCTAGTGGTCGTGAGTTTAATCCGTGGGTTAGGTGGTGAAAAACTGGTTCCGGATGAACGAACAATAATCACCTGAACAAAATAACACCATAATCAACAGATAACCTATACCAGCCAAAACAATGTTACCTGGTGATGGCCCGAGAGTGGTTGGCCGAAATGTGTCTCTAATAACATCTGCAATAATCCAGATGAGGACAATAGTTCGAAATAATTAACGTGTATAATAAAAGCACTCGAACTTGTTTAAGTTCTCCCTAATATTAATCAAACTTTTCAAACATTATAAAACTCGGAAATTTTACTCTCTCATTCAGATGGTAGCATTATAAATTGCATTCTCTTTTCTACAATGTCATGTCCCTTAAGAACGTTGGTAATCAGGTTCTCCACAATTTCGTGTCCTTTGTTGCTCTTAATAAATTTTGTCTTTTTATTATCTCTCCTAAACTCAATTTACTCAAGCTCTCTAGGTTAGTTATGCTTTTTGTTTTTATCTGTCCCTCTTGCATTCAATCTGTCGCGTGAGTATCAAAATTTCCGAGTCCTCTTTCCGTATTTCGTACCCTAGAAACTTCAACGGTCTCTTCCTGATGTTAAGTATAAATGTCTTTTTTCTTTTTATTTTCTCTAAAATTTCGTCGTTGCTCCCATGTTCAGCACATTATCTTTCTATGGAACCACATTTCTGTTTCTTCAAGTCGATGCTTCATCTCTGAGATTGTCCAAAATTCACTGCCAAATAGGGGGACTTATATTACGTAACAGTTCAGTAATCTTTTATTTGTTTCTAACGAAATGTTCCTGTTTCTTAATACTTTGCTTAGCTTTTGGAAGGCATTTGCCACTATCGCAACACACCTTTGAATTTCAGTGTTACACTTTCTGTCCTCTGTTAAAACACTTCCCAGACATTTAAATTGCTGTACTTGTTTAATTGTGGTATCTCTATTTTTTAATTTGCATGTTGGGATATTCCTGAAATTAACAACCAAGCATTCTATCTTCTTGCAATTTATGTTTAGTTCTTTCTTCACACTTTCTTTCACTACGTTCTGTAGGAGTTCCTATAGTTAACTTTCCATGGCTGCTATCAACGCTATGTCACCTGCATATTTTATGTGATTAAGATTGTGGCTGCCAACAATGAATTTATGGTAGTACTTCTCTCAGAATCCTCTCACTGTATTGGTTGAATAAGACCAATGAGAAGACATATTCTTGTCTTACACTCCTTTCTCTTT